AAACTATGTCATTTTCTGTAATCAAAAGCTTCATGTAGCCTGAATTCATATAATGAGACATTTTAAAAGCTCTCCTAATTCATCTCCATCCAGACACAGCATATCATCAACAATAACTATTCATATCCATCATCAATCACACTTGCAAAGCCACTAGTAAAGCACTGCACTAGCTGCTTTAAATACATGATGTGAAATTCTCATGACAACACACTTACTAAAATCCTTATTTACACGTGTAGACACGGAAACTCAGAGCAAATAACTTCCCCTAGGCCTGTCTGACTTCAAAGTCAGAGGTTACAACTTGCAGCTGTAAAATAAATAAGTCATGGGAAGGAAAAGTACAGCAAGGGAATACAGTTGATGATGTAGTAAGTGTATGGGGACAGGCGGTAACTACACTTAACCACGGTGAGCATTTGGTAACTACACTTAACCACGGTGAGCATTTTGTAACGTATACACAATTGCTGAATCACTATGTTGTACACCTGGAACTAGTATTACATGTCAACTATGTTTCAACTAAAAAAGAAATTGGAGGTTATGTTGATTCCAGTGCTATTCATACTACTGCAAAAGTTACTCACTTTTTTTCTATTGGAAAGGTCTTCATCTGTTCAGAGTATCTAATTTTAGTTTTTTAAAAATTAAGTTATAAATTGTTAAAGCAAGAGTATACAGGGGTACATGAGGGTAGATAATATATTTCATACCTTAATCAGAGTACAGGTTAATCTCTATTGTACCTAGGGGAGTAAAAGGAACACTTTCTAAGTAAATAAACAGGTTAACATGATTACAGGGCAAAAAGTTTCAATAGCATCTATTTTTAATCTCTTCAGTCACTTTTACTTTTCTACTGAAACGGTTCACATGATTATATACAGCTGAATACAAAAAACAGAATTACAATATTTTACATCTACTTTTAATACAAGAGGTATTTAACCACTAAGTCCAAAGAAGTGAAGTGACTTGCCAGACTCATAAACAAATGCACACCAGCTCTTAGAATTCAGGTTCCAGACTCTCCATCTTCTCTCCAAACCCATGGTTTGTCAATTTTTCACCATTATTTCAGAGATTTTCATCAAAATATTATGCTTATTAAGTAGTAAAGCTATAGAACTGTAAAACATAACTTCTGAGCTAATAAAGCACAGAAGCCTAATGATGTTCTATGATTCTGACCTTTCAAGAGAACTCTCAAGGCTGTGACATAAAGTGACATTTGGCTGAGGCTTCATTTGCAGTGACACATGCTATCAGGCTGGTGTGCAACAGCACGTCAGGCAGAGCCAGAGACTGTCTAGGACCTTCTACTGTGCTGATCTAACTTTGCTCCCATAGCATGAAAGAATTCTGGCTCCACCAATTTGCAGTTTTGTGATTATAGACAATACTCTAATTTTTCAGGTTTATTTCCTTCTGTTGAATGGCTGAATTTTCTCAGAGGTCTGATATTGTTCTCTGTTTGTTCATCATTCTAGGGTGGGAAGAGAAAGTTATCTAGATGTTGAAATTAGTTCTGAGAGGCTTTGTGGGTCCTAAATCAGCTGGTTTAGGCTCAGTCAAGGGAGGAACAGAAGATGAGATGAGATGCTGTCATTAAATTTTGCTCCTGATCGGTCCAGATGTTTGTGGACTGGAAGGAAGCAGCTAAGTGCAACAAGGGGCACTAGAGCCTGCTTCCTAATTCAAGTAACCTTGCCCTGCCTCTCCACAACCCACCAGAGCTCCTAGCACTGAGCTTAGCAGGGTTCTTCCCACTTCTTACCTAGTGGACTCTTCAATGTCACACCTATTACATGCTAGGGTTGTATCAGTTAAGCACAATTTCTTATCTGCATGGGGCAGTGAAGGCTACCTGAAGGACTTTAAGCAGAGGAACTGTAAAATGATCAAATGTGTATGCTAAAAAGAGCTCTCACGTTCTTTATATACTCCTGCGTTGTTTCACTTGTTACAGCATGTACCAGTTTTATAAAACATCAAATTTTTTGGTAAAACACCAAATTTTGTAAAGTTGAAAACCATCACACAAAAAAAAGAAAGGTTCCTGCTAGCAATGCAGAGGAGAGCTTGGAGGATGGGATAGACAACAGAGAGACTGGTCAAGACCAGTAAGTAACACAGGGGAGGAATGTAGAGGGGATGAAAGGAAGTACATCGAGGCGAATAGAGAGGGAAGTGGAGACTCAAGCCATATTAATACAGTAATATCAACAAGAGGAATTACTTGTAGGTCGGAGAGAAAAAGGTAAACAGGAGAATTTCCAAACACAGGTTTGGGGTAGATATTTAAGAGGGGTTTAGAAACATATAAAAGACGATGAGATACAGGGGCTCCTGGCTGGCTTAGTCAGAAGAGCATGTGACTCTTGATCTTGGGGTCATGAGAGCTTACTTAAAAATAAATAAATAAATTTATATACATATATACGTATATGTATATATATATATACTTTTTTTAAAAAATAAAAATTAAGGGGAGTCTGGGTGGCCCAGTCAGTTGAGCGTCAGACTCTTGATTTTGGCTCAGGTTATAATCTCACAGTTCATGAAATCGAGCCCCACATTGGGCTCCACACTAATAACACAGAGCCTGCTTGGGATTCTCTCTCTCCCTCTCTCTGCCCCTTCCCTGCTCATGTGTTCTCTCTCTCGCAAAGTAAATAAAACTTAAAAAAATACATAAAAATGTAAAAAGGTGAGGTACAAATTTTTATATATTATATGCAACTGTATATATTATGAATTTTGCAAAACTATGCATAGGAAATTCATCAGAATGTTAGCAGTGGTTGGCTCTGCATGGTCAATCAACTTTTTTTTGTTTTAAGTTTATTTATTTATTTGAGAGCGGGGGCTAGGGGCGGGGGGACGCAGAGAGAGGGAGAGACAGAATCCCAAGCTCTGTCAGCACAGAATCCGATGTGGGGCTTGAACTCACAAAACCTGAGATCATGACCTGGGCCGAGATCAAGAATCGATGCTTAACCAACTGAGCCACCTATGCACCCCTCGATCAACGTTTTTTAACTCACTCTTCCCTACATGTTCTAAATTTATTAACAATGTATACTTTTTGAATGTTTTGTATACTTTTTAAGCACAATCATTTCAAAAAGCAGTTTACCTTTATTAATAAGAACCCTTTGGTTGTAAAATTCCCCAGATGAAAATTGGTCAAATGGCAAATCATTCTATATTTCACAAGCATATTATAGTATCCATAATGAATTCTCATGTCTTTGTGAGATCTCACTGACCGCAAAATTATAATAGTGAAGCAATCCCCTAGTTGGAGGTTTTCTGGGTTTTTTCACCTCTATTCTGATAATCTATTAGGTGAGGGAGGTGAAAGAATTGGAAGCAGGCCTCCTGCTGTTATTTGATTGTTCAGTGATAACTGCAGTCGCTTATGAACTGCATGCTCCCATCTCGGGGCTTTTCCACATACCTCTGCCTGACTGCCTCTCTCTCCTCAAGTGTCATCTCCTCAGTAAGACCCACTATGATTATCCTGATTATAAGAGCTACATACCCCTGCCATACCACCACCATAGGATAAGAGATCTTTACTTTTTTTTCAATATACTTATCACCGAATGTCTGATATAACTTATTTATTACATTTACTGTGTGTCTCCAGCCCCAGAATGTAAGCTTCTCAGGCCACCCATGGATTATATTGTTTTGTTCCCAGCGGTATCCCCATCACCAGAACAATGACTAGCACATAGTGGATGCTCAGTAAATATTTGCTTCATTAACACATGCACGAATTAATAAATGAATAAATTCAGTAAATGACTATTAGGTTAAAAACTACACACACGATTATGTTACACATGAGCATCAGTCTTCTCAGTCATTAATACTTTTTATTTTAGAAGACGCTGGTTCTTTGCTTAAACATGTAGAGAATAATTAAGCCTATGTGGTTCAACAAAATTCATTCTTCATATATATGTCTATTAAACTTTCCTTCAGATTCAATAAAGGTAAGAATTTATTACACAAATCACTTTTCTAATTGGTTAAATGTATAAAAATTAAGCCATAAAACCTGTACCAATAAATAATGCCATAAAGTCTTACTTCGTGTATTCAGAGCTTCCAAACTGCCTCATTTAAAAATGTTCATTCACTACTGAGAACCAGTAAGAAACTCTGCTGATAATTTCTCACTTAACCATGTGGTAAGCAGGTTGTTTTTTTTTTTTTTTTTTTTTTTTTAATCCTCAGTAATGAAACAAGCATGAGGAAAAAGGACAAGAAGGCAAGGGCACACATTCAGCTCGCTCTGATTTTAAGAGCAACTTAAAGAACTTTCACTTTATACTATGTCTTATAGGTGCAGCACCATCTGGTGTTTACTATGCAGAAAGGCTATGAGGGCAGGTGGTGTAAAAGTCCTTTGTCACTTTGTAAAGAGTGTTAGGCAGCTGGACAAAGTGATACAAGCATATGACTAAGTTGATAACACAGATCACATATTCAATTTGGAAATATAGAAATAAAAATTTGGCAATCAGTGTGGCATTAGAAGAATAAACTTTTTAAATAACTTCCAGACAAGAATACTCTTTAAGAAAAACAGGACAAAGGCAAAACATAAATAAGTTATTAAAAGAGGGCAAAAAATTTTCTGAAAACCATTCTAGAATCTTATTAATAGGTCATCTCAAAATGCAAAATTTGATAAAAAGTAAATTATCAAACAAAACAAAGAGTTTACATTTGAATACCCAGAAGATTGAAGTATAACTCTTCTTTATAATATAGCCTCAACCCTTAATCCCTACAGAGAACATCACAATAAGGTCTCACTATATAAACAATCCCGTTAACTGCATACATTTTATTATACTAGGACATGATGATTTTAGCTTATTCAGCTTATTTTAGCTTATTTTGGAACTTAGGTAAATTTTTTTATTGGCTAATGCCACTGCTCCTGTGTTTACAATGACACCAACATTACTTACACCAGTATAGGCTTTCCCGATATCCTAGGATGTCTTAGCACTTCTGACATTGTCTCTTTTGTCTCTTCCATTCTCTCTTCATCACTGGAATCCACAACAAATATTACCCCATAGGACTCAGCATAGTAATTCTTCCAGATACCCCGAATTCTTTTTCCACCTCCCAAGTCAAAGATGGTGACTTCAAATTTTCCTTGTCTGAGGTCAATTTTGGAAAATCCAACAGTAGGAGCTACATCTTCAGGATACTCTGTTTCAAATGACACAAAAGAAACAACCTTAGACTTTAAATTAATAACATTAACTACACAAATTAAAGGACATAAAAAGTATTTTTCATAATTTAGTCTTAATTGGAATGTTTATTATTTGCTTACACACTAAGCTTTACATCTAAGCATACTGGTAGATATGGGGAAGGGTAGATACTATAAAATATCCAACCAGAATTTATGCTCCATGCAGACAAAAATTTCTGTATTTTGCTTATTTGTTTTGTATTGACCCCAGCTCCTAAATAATGTCTACCATATAACAGGTACTTAATAAATATCTGTAGAATGAATAAATAAATAAATGAACTCTTGCCTTTAAGGCTACTGACTCTCCAAGTTACAAACAATAAAAATTTCAACCCTTCAACACTACAGCCATCCCCAGGGACCATTACAACTTCTGTGAAGCTATAAAGAAAAACTGAATATTTAGAGAATAGTTGAGAAGAACCAAAGAATGGGAGAAGCTATGAAGAGTAGGACCACTCTTTTCAAACTACTGAATTAAAGCTACAATTGAAATAAAAAAACTTTTCAGGACAGCTTATAAACATAGAGCAGATTTCATTGTTTCTAAGGAACATGTTTCATATGTTTTCATAAATTTAAAATTGAATTTTTTTGGACTTCTGTATATGACAATACAAAGAAGGCATAGGATGCATGATTATAACTGCCAAGGGGGTGGTAATAATGACAACATTAAAAAGATAACTAAGGTTCAAGAAAGACTTCAACTAGGAGCTCAGACTTAGGCCTTAAAGCTAGGTAGTATGTAGACAGGCAAAAGAGTGAGCTAAGTAGCAGAAATAGCAAAGGAAAGAAAGTACAAACTGAACTTTGGCGCAAACCCTTAAGATTGGGAATGCAGAGGGGCGCCTGGGTGGCGCAGTCGGTTAAGCGTCCGACTTCAGCCAGGTCACGATCTCGCGGTCCGTGAGTTCGAGCCCCGCGTCAGGCTCTGGGCTGATGGCTCAGAGCCTGGAGCCTGTTTCCGATTCTGTGTCTCCCTCTCTCTCTGCCCCTCCCCCGTTCATGCTCTGTCTCTCTCTGTCCCAAAAATAAATAAACGTTGAAAAAAAAAAAAATTAAAAAAAAAAAAAAGATTGGGAATGCAGACTTAAGAGAGTTCTGAAGACAGAGAAATGGAAGCTGAAGGTATTTCAGCAGACCAATCATATAATTAATGTGACTAAAGTAGTGCTTTTTTAAGGTACATCTTTGCAAAATCTCTAGAGCTGACTAGAAATGAGAGTGACGGCCACTTTTCAGAGAGATATGAAAATGAGAAGAATGGAAAGAGAGAGCTCATGAAACATTAATAGAACCTGGTGACTCAATGGTTATGAAGAAGAGTTCAAACTTCATGTTTGTCTCTTTCACTCTCTCTTCACCACCAGAATCCACAACAAACATTACTCCATTGGACTTTGTTTACAATGGCCACAATCTACACTAGGCTTTTTAAATTAAAATCAATTAAAATTAAATTAAAATTTCAGTTTCTCAATAGAACTATCTAGATCTAAAGTGCTCAGAGCCACACAAGGCTAGTGGCCCACACTACACTAGACAGAGCCAATACAGAACATTTCTATCATTGCAGAAAGTTCTGTTGAATAACACTAGTGTTATTATTCCCACATTCAACAGAATATTTGCTATTACAAAGATAAATTTGAAAGGCATTTGCTGCTAGGCTTAGGTGTGACTGGGCAACAGACTTGCCACATACTACTCCCTTTCAGCAACTACTTTAGTGCAGTTTAAACAACTCCCTAGAGGCACCTGGGTGGCTCAGTTGGTTAAGCCCCTGACTTTGGCTCAGGTCATGATCTCAAGGCTCATGGGTTTGAGACCCACATCAGGCTCTGTGCTGACAGCTCAGAGCCTGGATCCTGCTTTAGATTCTGTGTCTCCCTCTCGCTCTGCCCCTCCCCTGCTTGCGCACGCTCTCTGTCTCTCTCTCTCAAAAATAAACAAACATTAAAAAAAATTTAAACAACTCCCTAGAAAGTTAGCAGAGAGGTTACAAGTCACACTTTTCTAAGATCTTCTTTATCTAGGAGAAAAAGAAAAGTTTAGAAGCAATACAAGCAGCGTGATATTCCTAAAACAGGATTACCCTAGACATCTAAAACAAATGGATCTATCCAGGCCAGAATTGGTTTCCATAGTTAAAACAGGCAGCCATCTTTGAATACGAGTTTAGAGGTGCCCCCAGGAAATTATCAGTGCAAATAAACCAACTATGCTGGAGTAGGGATGAGGGAACTAATACGTATAGACACCTACTCAGTACCAGGACTTTGTTAGGCATTAGGATGTAAAGATGAATAAGATAGGGTTGCTGTCCTCAAAGAACATACAGTACAATATCAACAGATATGTATTAATGGAATTAACACAAGAACCTATATTTCTATGAAAAAAGTCTAGAGAAGATACTATAAGGATGTTATAGATTACATGTGTCCATGCCTCCCCCCCTTTCCCCCACCACCTTGCAAAACTCCTATGTTAAAACCCTAATCCCCAGTGTGTTAGGGAGGTGGAGTCTTTGAGAAGTAATTAGGTTTCAGTGAGGTCATGAGGGTGTAGTCCCCATGATGGGATTACTACCGTTATAAAAAGAGACACAAGAAAGTTTGTCTTGTGTCTCTCTGCACCACATAAGAACACAGAAAGAAGATAATTGTCTGTAAATCAGGAAGAGGACTCCCTCATCAAGAACCCAACCATGCTGGCACCCCGACCTCACACTTCCAACCTCCAGAATTGTGAGAAATAACTGTTGTTTAAGCCACCCAGCCTATGGATTGGTATAGCAGCCCAGACTACGACTGAGGGCATTCAAGAGGAAAAGGGTAAAGAGGAGGGAGGGGAAAGTTATGGTACACAAAGGCTTCAGAAAGGCCGTGAAATAAAAATGAAGTCTTAAAAACCACAAAATTATAATAAAGAAGGGAGAAGAACATTCTAGGCAGGAGAGCAACATAAGCACAGATAAAATGATGGCAACATTCTCAGGAAACCAATTCAAATTAGGTAATTTTTTTAAGGTTATATGGTAGGCAGAGCCAGGACTCAAATCCAGGTCAGAACTTTAAAAGTCTTCCCTCCCTGATTTGTCTATCCTTTCCTCTGGTTCCTACTCACAGTTCTGTGTTTCAAGACTCAGGATTAGGGGCGCCTGGGTGGCTCAGTCGGTTAAGCGTCCGACTTCAGCTCAGGTCACGATCTCACGGTCCGTGAGTTCGAGCCCCGCGTTGGGCTCTGGGCTGATGATGGCACAGAGCCTGGAGCCTGCTTCCGATTCTGTGTCTCCCTCTCTCTTGACCCTCCCCCGTTCATGCTCTGTCTCTCTCTGTCTCAAAAATAAATAAACGTTAAAAAAAAAAATTAAAAAAAAAAAAAGACTCAGGACTAAATGTTCTGCATACAACTTCCCTATAAATCCTTTCTGATAATTCCTTCCTACTTTCAGTATCACCTGCACTATCATAATATTCTGTCTTTTTGCTAGTCTTCACAATAGCCTATACCTTCCCAGTAGCTGGGACCAATCGTTGTATCCTTAATACTTAGCACAAAGTATTTAGTGGCTCAACATTACAGACTGCCATGACAGCTGAAGCTACTGTTCTTACATCCATCCTTCCTTTTGTCATGCCACATATTTATCCATCCATTCATGCTAGTAGCCATTTATCATGTGTCTATTATAGATCAGGGATCATATAAGAACCAGGGGTACAAAGACAAATGGTCCCCAACCCTGAGGATTTCGGTAAAGTATATGCGCTAAGACAATCTCTGCGAAGTCCAAGATAAAGTGAAATATATCATCAATAACTTATTTATTGAGCATCTATTGTATGCTAAGCACCGTGCAAGGTCCTAGATACACAATAATAAGATCCATCTTCTGACCTTACAGAGCTCTTACATAGAGGAGAAAAGGGGAAACATAAACAAACAACATAATACAATGAAGATATTTTAATATCCAACAATGTTAGGGACCAATTTACACAAAGAAGAATTTTGCTACCCAAAAAAACAACTGTTCCTTAGAAATTATTAGGAAATAGCACTGGACAGTCAGAGAATCCTAGTTTTTTAGCTGAGCACACACCTATTTAGGATAAAAACTTAAATCCCTAGCCTCTGTGGCAGCTAGGAATGGCTATTAGAACATATTCTAGATAGTGAGCTAGTGGTGTAGCATTAAACATTTAACCTCTCTTGCAGGACTTTGATATGTAGCGTTTGTCATTTTCCATGGTGTGAATACTCCCACTATGGCCAATTTCAAACTACCAGTGTGAGGTACCTGAACACATGGTTGGGAAGGGATATACCTAACTGGATCTCGATAGCTGATATAAGCCAATAAGAGCAAGTAAGAGCCAGCTCCAAAATACCACTGAAGTGATGTGGCAGCTTCTAGTCCATGCCCTTAAAGGAAAAGAAAATGGCCTCCCTTCCACTTTACCTCTTCCCTCAGCTGAAATGCACAGTACTAGTGAGCCATCTTGGACCAGGTAGGCAAGGGAAAAAAAAAAAGAGGAGAAGGAACATAACACCATAGGGGTGTTATGCCAGCCCTACACTACTTTTGCATGCACTATTATGAGAAATAAAATTCTATTTTGTTAAGCCATTGTTATTTTAGGTTTCTTGTTAGGACAACTGAACCTATATCCAATGAATACAATCACTTTGACAGCCATTAAAAAAGAGAAGTTGATTGAAAGAAGCAAAAGTCAAGGTATAGAAAGTATTCCTTGATTAGGAAGCTATAACATTCTAGATGAAAGACACTGAGGATGTGGATTTAGACACTACAGTTAGAAGAGAAGCAGATATATCCCAAAAGAAATGTGGGGGGGGGGGGGCGGGGGAGAAAGGGAAGAAAAGAAACAGAAATGAGGCAGAAATAAGCTGAAGAGTGGAAGCCATGGCAGATATGTTGTAGAAGACCACCTACTACACCTATGGCATGGCTGAACTGAGACACCAAAATGAGTAAAACTGCCCTTTGGGAATTTATGGTCTGGAGAGGTGAAGGGATACAGGAACAAAGGGGGTAATTAAGTAGTGATACAAGCAGGTATAGTAAGTATAGTCCAAAGCACAGGAAGTAGCCAAGTCTACTGATGGTGATGGGAATGGGTAAAGGTAGCAGGAGATTGGAAAAGACTTCATAAAGGAGACTATATAACAAAAAAACCATCTTTAGAGACATTTAGATATTCTGCTTTAAAAGCAGATATTCCCTGTACTAAGACAAGTGGGAAGAGCATGAACAAATACAAAAGCATGAAAAGGTTCCACTGGAAAATTTCATGTAGCTCTATAGAACTGGAATCTTTAAAAAAAGAAAAAAGGTAAGAAATCAGCCACTGGAGTAGGCTGAGGAGTAAACAAATATGAGATAAAGAACAAAAACAGAACCAGAGGGGAGCTCAAAGTGGAAAGCAGCTTTGACTTTTTGCTCATGATGTATCACCCTGAGTATTTTTTTCTAAACTCAGAAAGAGAAACCGATGAATATATGGAGGTGAAAATCAGAAGAGAAAGATCCTAATGGAAAGAGGATGTTCTAAGTACACACAACAAATTAGATAGTCTGATTCTTAGATTCTACTCCCTTGAATGTAAGGCTTTGAAGAAATGGAAGAAGTGAAGATGTTTAGATAAGCAGTCATGGCCTGCAGGCCAAATCTGGCTCACTATTTTTATATGGCCCTCAAGCTAAGAATGTGTTTCACATTTTAAAATAACTGCAAAAAATATCAAAAGGGTAGTATTTCATAACACATCAGATTTCAGTGTCCATAAACAAAGTTTCATTGGAAGGTGGCCATGCTCATTTGTTTACATGTTGCCTATGGTTGCTTTTGCATTATTATGTCAGGGTTGCATAGTTGGGAAAGAGACTGCGTGATCCTCAGTCTCAAATATTTACTATCTGGCTCTTTAACAGAAGAAGTTTGCCAGCCCCTGGTTAAGATGATGACAGTCAGTGCTCTGTGAGGATATAAGCTAGGAGATAGCACGAGGGGTACCATAAGAATCCACAGATAATAATACACAATTTATATCTAATATTACATGCTAGAATATGGGGTGGCAAAACATTTTCCTTCAAAAGCAAGTTTTGCAAGGTGTTAATTTTCTTTCATAAACCTCCATAAATAAAAGCCCCTGACTATTTGGTATGCGTATCTTGTTGCAACATTCTTTTTCAGCAAAAAATATATGTTAAGTTTCTTCTCAATTCATACTCATGCTTGGCTGATGCTACATCTTCTGGGTACACAACAAACTCACTAGCACAGTTGCTTCTATGTTGTAGTAAACAGCATTAAATTAAGACTAAGTAAATACACCCAATGAGATGTAATATAAGTGACATAAAACTCTTTAGTAAAAAAGAGGCCCTACTTTTAACATAACTATAAAAATTACATATCATATTGAAAAACAATCAAGACGCGCAAGGAAAGACATGCTGGCTAACTGTATTTCTACCTCCGTTTGATTTAGGTGCAGCCTTGGGACTAAATTCCAGCCAAGAGAATGCAAGTGGAAGATAGGTATCCTTAAAGATGGGCATGTCCTTTTTTTACTTTTTCCCTCCTGTGCTGAGAAGACAGATGTAATGTCTTTTATCTGATCAAAGACCTCAAGGATCCTCTGCACCTCTGCATTTATTCACATCTGAAACATGTTAATAGGCTGGTACTAGTAAGCTAGAATCTATTCCCCATATTAGCCACAAGTCTACTAAGAATATAAAGAGATGGAGTGTATACTATCTGTACCAAATGATTATGTAACAAAACAATTTACATAAATAAATAATTCAGAGTAATTTAATAAGAAACATTTTCAACTTACCTCCTTGGATTCCCTTTGCCGTTGCCGTTTTACCAGCATTATCAAGTCCCACCATCACAAGAGTCACCTTTCTTAAAATAATAAAAATTTAAAAATCACTTTTGAGTTAATCCAATATCAGGGGAAAATAAAAGCAAATTCATTCACTCAAGCAACATATAAGGAACATCTACTACGTATAGGACAATCTGCTGGACCTCAGGCAGTTCAGTAATGAATGAAACAGATTCAAAAAACAAAATTCTTGAGAAATATCCTTGAAGTGTCATCCTTTTGTTCTATAAGCAAAAAAGGAAAAAAATAAAAGAAAGTTGTACAAGAGAGAGTACAAAAGGTAGAGAAGAAATAAGAGAAAGAAGGAAAAGGATTCTAACACAAGAGCTATTTATCATGGCTAAAGATTCACACACACCAACGGTGTGTTCAGCTCTGTTTTTAGATATGCAGCACCCTTCCAAGTATAAATCTTAAATACAGTATAATAACATGATTATTAACTTAAGTGCTAACATATTTTGGAAGAGTGTTCCTAAAATTATAAAGCTTAAAATACTTTTGATGACATAGCTAAACTTCAGAGAATCAGAAAAAAAAAAAAAAAAGTCTAGTTCAATTTACAATCGAAGAAACATAAACCCAGACTTGTAAGACAACAAGTTGCTTAGAGTCAAAACCAGAACCTAAGTCACTTAATTCCTAGAGACTTCTTAAACCTGGCATAGGTATAAAGGAACAAACCTATTATAATGGTCCTATTACCTTGGCAATTCAGTCTACCACTAAAGCTCATTTCTGTTTCAGGCTGAACCACTGCACAATACAAGAGGGAAGACCATTCATTAACACCATGGATTTGGGAATATAGAGTGAAAGTCGCAGCATAACACAGCTGTTGTGTTAAAACCACAGGGCCACATTCCTATGCGATACAGTCAGGGTTTCTGCCAACTCATCTTCACTGAGGATCATCTCAAGAAGAGTTTAAAAAAACAGAGCTTAGGGGGCACCTGGGTGGGTCAGTCGGTTGAGCGTCCGACTTCGGCTCAGGTCATGATCTCGTGGTCCGTGGGTTCGAGCCCCGCGTCGGGCTCTGTGCTGACAGCCCTGAGCCTGGAGCCTGTTTCGGATTCTGTGTCTCCCTCTTTCTCTGACCCTCCCCTGTTCACGCTCTCTCTCTCTCAAAAATAAATAAAACGTTAAAAAAAAAAAAATTAAAAAAAAAAAAAAAACAGAGCTTAGATGTTAGAAGGGGTGTTCTTTCATCTTTCTAGCCCTGACTCTCTTGGATATGTTGTGTTGAGTTTTTTTGTTTGTTTGTTTGTTTTTAATTCCAGATGTCTTCAAAGGATTCATATAACAAAAAGAAAGGACAGAGTTGAGGTGTGAGGCAGACAAGTTAGGGGTTGCACACTGAGGAAGAACACACTCGGTCTTGCAAAAACCAAACTGGTCGCTTATCAAACCAATTAAATAGTTACTGACCACCCTCTGGACGCTAGACACCAGTGTTCTAGGTACTTGAGATATACCTTTTTATTCAAATGACTACAACAAAAAAAAAGCAAACAAAAACAGACACAGAAACTCTTCCTTACTAAATTTACACAGTGAAAAGAAACAATAATAATAAATGTAAGAAATAAGTACATTATAAGCTATGCAGTATGTTAGAAGGTGATTAGTTACTATAAAAAAAAGAATATAGAGTAAAGCAGGCTAAAGGGAGGCAGGAATGGAGATGGGAGCCAGGTTGCAGTTTTACATTAGGGTGATCAGGGCAGACCTTCTTGAGAAGGTAAAATCCAAGCAAGGCCTTGAAGGAGGGAGTTAGTCATGCAAATATATCTAGGGCAAGAGAGAACATCCAGGGCAAAGGCATTAACATGGGGGTATGCAGGAATGTTCTAGCATCAGCATGCAAGTCAATGTGGTAAAACCCAGAGAGAATGGAGCAGGGAAGGACAGGGAGCAGGGAAGGACACCAGAGGCCAGATCATGCGGGGGCCTTGTAGTTGAGCGCTTTGGTTTTTGTGAATGAAGTTAATTTACTCTCCATATTAATTTCCTTTGTTATCCAAGAGCCCTAGTCTTCTAAATGTTTCAACCATCTCTACCCACCATGGGAAATGAATGGAAGTATATCTAAGCTTGAGTAAGTGCAAGAATAAAGTAAGCCACAATTAGCAGCATCCCCTTACCCCAACCTTGTCAGCCCGTGGTGGGGTCAATGGGAATGTCAAAGAGAACCATGACAGATTACGAATTTAAGGAGCTGTCCAGACTTCAAGATGTATTACAAAGCTGTAATTATCAAGATAGTATGGTACTGGCACGAATTTAAGGAGCTGAGGTTGTATGTGAGGTCCAGATATCTCTGTGCATACAGAAATTTTGCCTGCATTATCAACTTTGAAAAATATGAATTTACTTCTTAAGGAAGCTGTGTGTGATTTTTAAGAATATAAATTTATTATTTTGTTTGAAGAATTCATAACTACTAAATATCAAATAAGACTTAAACACAAAATAATTCCCTAAACAAAATACAATAAATGATTATCCAAAAGAGATGGATGGATAATGTCGCATTTATATAATATTTTAGGTAACTCAAGTTACTAGATATACAATGAATTAGATTAAAATGATATTAAAACACATTCAATTGTCCTCTGAAAAATGTATGATGCATTTCAAGATCCACCATGCTTCAAACCTGACCATAAACCAAAACAATTACCATGAGGGAACAAATGCCCACATTATGCTTATGTGCATCATTTATTCTATAAATATTAATTATACACCTTATACACACAAACATCCACAATCCCTAGCCCTCGTATACCTTCCTTCTGTATTACACAGGTTGCATCTTAACGTTTTCTCTCCATTCTTGTCTGTCAGCCTAAAAAAAACCTTCCAAATAATTGCTATTACATATTTTGAAACACTGCTCTTAAAGCTAGCTACCAAAGATATTTGCTTTTTACTTTAAAAGCTTTCCTTTCTAGGGGCACCTGGGTGGCTCAGTCGGTTAAGTGTCTGACTCTTGGTTTCAGCTCAGGTCGTGATGTCACGGCTGGTGAGTTCAAGCCCTACACTGGGATCCGCGCTAAGAGTGTGGGGCCTGCTTGGGATTCTCTCTCCCTCTCTCTCTCTCTCTCTCTCTCTACCCCTTCCTGCTTATGCTCTCTAAATAAATAAATAAGTAAACTTAAAAAAAATGCTTTCCTTTCTTACTAAAATATTAGGTTCAAACAAAAAAAGTCCTTCAAACATACAAATCACTTTGGAAAATTATAATTATGCTGAGACTGGCACAAAATAAGCCTCTCTAGATTTCTTTTTTACTTTGACTACTGTTGAAAGTAGTTAATTTTTTAGATCATTATGCTATATACTTGAAAACATGACTTTAATTAAATACTTGAGGTCATTAAAGTCTTAATGAATAAACATAACATTAGCAGTACAAATAAAAATCAGCATGAATTACTGCAATCTCTGATAACAAAACATTGAATTTATACTTTCAGAATAGAATGGATTTAAAAGGTTAACATTCACCTAACACTCAAAATCCTATGCAATGTTTTAAAACATGATGATGTACATGGGGCGCCTGGGTGGCGCAGTCGGTTAAGCGTCCGACTTCAGCCAGGTCACGATCTCGCGGTCCGTGAGTTCGAGCCCCGCGTCGGGCTCTGGGCTGATGGCTCAGAGCCTGGAGCCTGTTTCCAATTCTGTGTCTCCCTCTCTCTCTGCCCCTCCCCTGTTCATGCTCTGTCTCTCTCTGTCCCAAAAATAAACGTTGAAAAAAAAAAATTTAAAAAAAAAAAAAAAAACATGATGATGTACAATCTAACACATGTTAAAATGTACATGTCATTACACCTGCTTAAAGTATGGTAAATTATCACTGGGAACAGTTGGCTGTGGTACAAAAATGGAAGACATTCTATGTCTTTTAATCTTATGATTACTGATCAAGTACATTAATCCTTCAATTGAAAAAAAAAACAGTATACAGTGTTCTTAGGGTCATAGCATCTGGAAAAGTTGACACTAGCAAAAAAACAATCATTTAGTCATTTGATCAGACAGAAATTCAATAAAAGTACATTAGGCATTAGGCATTACAGACACAAAAATGCCTGAGACATGGTTTTCTATCTCAGTGTACTCATCTTCTAATGAGAGTGACTAAAACATAAACAAATATTAGCACATTGTGACACTATGACAGTCGAATATGCACATCTATATATGCAAGATGTTTAAGTAATACAGGGCAAGATGATTTTATTTTTTTTTTAATTTTTTTTTTCAACGTTTATTTATTTTTGGGACAGAGAGAGACAGAGCATGAACGGGGAAGGGGCAGAGAGAGAGGGAGACACAGAATCGGAAACAGGCTCCAGGCTCTGAGCCATCAGCCCAGAGCCTGACGCGGGGCTCGAACTCACGGACCGCGAGATCGTGACCTGGCTGAAGTCGGACGCTCAACCGACTGCGCCACCCAGGCGCCCCCAGGGCAAGATGATTTTAGCCTAGAGATACAGATACAGAAGATCAGGGAAGCTTTTTACACAAGGCAATGCCTCAGCTAAGTTGTTAAAGTGGAGAAGTTTGCCAAGCAAGGGAAAGGTGCAAACAGAAGGAGGGAGAATGAAGAGATTCCAGACTGAGAACACTGCCTGGGAAGATACCATACCAAGGAGGGGAGAACTGGCAGGATGTCGAGTTGCTAAACCCAGGGGTTAAGAGCACACCTCAGTAGAGCCGTATTAAACAAAAGGAGACCATGCTTGCTAGAGGCTCATCATACATAATCACGACTCACTACAACTACACATTGAGTGTAAAGGAAACCTGATATACTTCTGCTTTAGGAACTATTATCAACAAATAGTTAACAATGTGACCTTCCCAGAAGTTATCACTTCATTCTTATTGCAGTTTATCCCTGAGTCTTTAATTATATATCAAACTAGAAAGGCTGGGATGGGAAGGACTATGTTTTTATCAGGAACAAATAACAGGGATTATGTGCAATCTGATATATTTG